GGAGTCTCCCCACCCTCACATCTAACCTGCTCCTGACCACGACCATGTTCCTTGCCTTCTAAGCTTGCAGCATCCCAATCCAATCTCTGAATGTTTCCCAATACCTTCTTTCCATCCCCACTGACACAGCCTTGATCAATCCTTCCCCATCACCTCACCTCTTCCAGCATCTTGTCTCCACCTAAACATTGAAATGCTGTGCCAAGAGCTTAAATACATTACCTCTTAACCCTCACCACAACCCCATTTTACAAATTAGGAAATTGGGGAAGAGCAAGGTTAAGTAGCATCCTCAAACTCATGGGACTACTGGGGAACCAGTCCTGGAACTCAGGCATTCTGGCACAGAGCTCTCGCTCATCAATTTCTGGCTCTACTGCTACACTGTCTAGTTTATTGCAACCCCTTCTGCCTGGTCCCGCTGTCCCCATTCTCTTCTCTTCTCTCCCTCTATCCATCCTCCATGTGACTGCCAACTGTCTTATGTTTTAAAACCAAACAAACAATTAGCTGGCCAAGCATTTTTCCAATGTAAAAGCCTCCATTAGTTCCCTATTACTGACAAATATAGTTCACATTTTTGGCCCTCAGATCCTTTCTAGTATTAGCAGAATATTAGTGAGTGCAAAAATAACTGAATGCATCGTGTTCAAACATGTCTTGGCTCACGTGGAAGGCCACTGCAATCTGGATCCGACAGACCAGACTTCCGGCCATTCCCTGTCTCTCACTCGGGTATCTTTCCACCCGAGTGGAAGCACATTTCCTTGAACCATCAGCCTCTCTCATGCCTCCCCGTGTTGGCGCAATCTTTCCCCTTCTGGGATGTCCTCTTTCCACAACATTTTAACCGACAGACCTTCTCTTCCTTCAAGATGTAACTCTGATGTCCTTTCCCAACTCCCCTGGAGTATACTGAGGCAGCCTCTGAACCCAGACACAGGGTACCCCCACAGCATGTCCTGTGAGGCTCGGCAACTTGCCTGTCTACATTTCTGTGAGTGCTTCCTCAACTCAGTGTTCCTAGCAACTAACACTGTATCTGACTTGTGGGAGGTGTTTGTTAAATGAATGGATGGATGAATGAGGCAATGATACAGAAAGAACTTGGGAATGGCTACTAGGCAGCATGGTTTCTACCAAAGTTACAGTTTGATCAGTCTTTCTAATTTTCTCCGGGATCTGACCCTAGAACTCACACACCTACTTTAATCTGAACTCAGACATCATAAAATAATCGATAAGAGAAAATCCAGCTCCCTGTCTGCAATAGATGGTGTTCTTCCCTATGTGAGCTTGAAAAGTCTGATCCTCTGAGATGTCCTAATAAGACAATTAACTCTTATAATAATTAATAAAATCATCATCTGCACACATACTTTCACTTGATAATTGCAACTCAGTGAACTAAATATATATGTGGGCATTTATCAGGTTGCAAAGCTTCTCAAAGGCAGGAGGTAGGACTTACTACAAAATACATAAACCCATAGTGCCTAGAAGAGATTGTCAACTGCTATTTCATGGTAATATAGGCTTCTATTAAAACATCAGTCACCTCCTAGGCACCTCCTAGGTGCCAGGTATCATTAACTAAAAGGTGTGTCGAGAGGCTGTAGACAGGGCTATGGGACATGGGTTTGAGATCGAATCCTGACACAAGTTACAAACACATCAAACTTTGAGTTACTTCCTCGGTTGAATGAGGATCTCAAAGGCATCTTCTACTTCTCATGTTCTATAATCCTATGACTCTGTCTGGCCACTTCATAGAAAAAGACCTACCTCCTGTCGACTTACACTGAAACAGAATATAAGAACACCAAGAATTGCAAATCCCAGCAATTCTGCTGCCCGCCTTTCATATTTGAACCCTTGAATATTCATTTACCTGTTCTTCTAGTCGGAAGTTCTTTTCTAAAATGAGAAGCATGTGGTCCCGTAAGGCCGAGTGCTCATGCTGCTTCAAGTTTGACGGTTTACCCTTCAACATGAAGAGAAAAATAAGGCAGGTTGTGGAAAGTGTCCCCAGGCGAGGATGCTGGTGGGATACTCCACTAAAACAGAACTTCAACGACGTTGCTTACTTGTCTCAAGGTGGGTTGCGGGGGAAATGGCCTTCCAGTCCCCTTTCCAGCGTTAAGATTCTACAGTACCCATGAGACAATTTTAAACTTACAGGGGCAGAGAATCAGGCCGCTATCAAAACTCTTAATGCTGATTTCCTCCTTGCCCTGAGAATAAAGGGTGGGGGAAGTAGGTTTACAGTTGTGAGTACGCGAAACACAGAGTTTATGCTTGTATTATGTAAGATAGTTTTAGCGATCACGATTGCTAAAGGCTTCCTATTTATTGTCTATTTGCACGAGTATTTATGGGAGCTGAAGCTGGGAGTTTCCAGCCTTAGCGGCATAATTTCTCGTGTTAATTTTATTTTGAGATTTGTAGAGTCTGAACAAAATTTCTAGGGACATTGTGTAGGGGGTTGAAGTTTATGTGCTGCTTGTGGGTGAGCTCCAAGGGGATGTCACTTTCCGAGTCATCTCAAACTCTCTAATCTGTTTCATTTCTCTCCCCAGCTGCCTAATACAGCCACGAGGACTGAGAGTGCTAGGCAACCAACCTTTACGTGCACATCCCCACATGAGTCAATTATTAACTTTTGTTCTTAATCCTCACCCAGGGATATTCTTTCATTGATTTTTAGAGAGAATGGTCTCTCAACCCTTAACCTTTAGCTCTACCTTGAGGATTTCACAAAACAGCTCAAAGAAAGTCAGCCTCTAACCTTAAAACAGGGAGGTGGGGATTTCCAAAGAAAACTCAAGTCCACCATTGCAAAGCGAGGAGCCAGTGGGGCACAGCGGGCCCCTGTTTGTACCTAGTACAGTCCAGGTCTGCAAGGTGGCCCTGGATGGGATCCTCTGGAATCCCACTGCACTACACCATAATAAGACAATCCGCGTATTGGTAAGGGTATCCGAGTTACGGCACCATCATGTTGGTGGTGAAAATGGCACCAGAATGTTACCAATGACGGGACCTTGGTTCAGCAACATCAGTCCTTGAATTCTGGCCAAGGAAGAATTCAGAGCCAAGACTCAAACTATAAGGAAGAGTTTATTTAGAAAGTCACGGAGGTAGAAGAAATGGGCTCAGGAAACAAGAGACAGAGACAAAAGAAGGGCCCTTTGAGTTTAGGAGAAAGAGAGAGTTCAGGAAAATGTACTTGGGGGAAAGGAGGTGGGGAAGGCGTAAGTGTGCTCCACAGAGAGGCTGCTATTC